ATAGTAATATAATGGTAAAACTGAAGCACTAGTTTGTACTAGTTGTTGACAACTTACTGTACAGACTTTCATTATGCGTAATTACATCTCTGAAAAAAAATACTTCTCCTCATATCAACAGTTAAATCTGCTAATTGTATCAAAATCCCTGTATTTTGTTTTTCTTCCATGAGTGAGCTCAGTTTCCATTGACTGAGGGACCACTGGAGACGAGCATGTCAACAAGCACTGGGAAGTTACGAAGTCAGTCGAAGAAGCCTCGTACCCAGGAAAACAGGCCTAACAGTCCTTAAAGGATAACGTAAACAAAAAGGGAAAATATATTTCATAGTATTTTTCAAGTGAACAGCAACAGGTGACAATGGTTTTCACTACTCAGCATCGCAGAGAAAACGAGAAAAGCCAATTTCTGAACTCTTCCACAAAGGGGGAGAACAGAGAGATCTTTCTCTTGACACAGGTACCCTCTCTCCCTCTGAATACAATCAGAAGGTCCAGGGCAGCAGGTGTGAGATCACAAGGCACCATATACTGACTCAAAGGGCCACTGAAGGCAATCTTCATGGTCAAGGAGCTGGACAGATATGTTAAAAAGATGAAACATAAGGCTGCATGTGCCAAATGCCAAAAGACAAATGCAAATAATCAGTCCTGTAGGAATTAAGAAGTGGCACCTTCAGTGGCAGAGAAAGTTTCAGCAATAGATCAGGGTTTGTTCAGGATAACTGATCATTGAGGAGGAAGAGCAGAAAATGTCAAGGTGGGAAGCAGACCAATCACCCTTCAGAAAACACACACAGAAAAAGAAATAGTCAGGTGGCACCTGGGTGGCTCAGTCAATTGAGCACCTGACTCTTGATTCAGCTCAGGTCATGATCTCACAGTGTGTGAGATCAAATCCCTCGATGTTTGCATGGATCCTGCTTAGGATCCTCTCTCTCTACCTTTCTCTCTGCCCCCCCACAACTCCCTCTCAAAATAAATAAATAAATTTTCTTTTAAAAGAAAAAGAGAGGCTTCTGGGTGGTTCAGTCAGTTAAGTATTGACTCTTGATATCAGCTCAGGTCATGATCTCGAGTTCATGGGATCAAGCCCCACAATGGGCTCTGCACTGACAGCATGGAGCCTGCTCGGGATTCTCTCTCTCTCTCTCTCTCTCTCTCCCCCCTCCACCCTCCCTTTCTTGCCCTCTCTCTCTCTCCCTCCCTCCCTCTCTCTCTATGAATAATAAATATTAAAAAAATTATAAAAATTTAAAAAAGAAAAAGAAGAAATAGGTGTCAAGTATTGTGATAGGAAACATGAAAATAAAAATGAAACTGTAATATATATTTTTTAAATTGATTTGAAGAAATGGCAGCAATTCTACTCCCCATGCCAAGAAAAGGGGGTTGGGGCAGGAGAATGGGTTACAGTTTATAACACTCCTCAGTGAAAAAGACTTAGTGTATATTGGAGGAAGTTTAAACATACAGGTAAAAACGTCCATAGTACCCAGTGCCACACAGCCTAGATTATTAAGGGCCCTGGTTAATCTACACATCAAATCATTAAATTAAAAATGTCATTGGGCCACCTGGGTGGCTCGGTTGGTGGCCAACTTCAGCTCAGGCCATGATCTCACAGTTCATGGGTTTGAGCCCCACGTCAGGCTCTGCGCTGAAAAATTGGAGCCTGGAGCCTGCTTTGGACTCTGTGTCTCCCTCTTTCTCTGCCCCTCCCCCACTTGTACTCTGTCTCTCTCAAAAATAAAACAAAAAAATGTTTAAAAAAATTTTTTTTTAAGTCATGAAGGACCCAGGAAGTACTAGGCTATTAGGAAATAAATAAAATACAAACCCTCAAAAGATCTGCAAATGAGTTTCTAATAAAAGTATGGCATAAAATCTTAAGGTGGGACAGGACGTTTAGACAAAAATTGTTGAAAATTCCAGAAGAGTGGTTCCTAAACCAACTGTCTCCAGGGCTCTCTTAGTATTTTCTTATGTTTCATTGATAAATAATGACATTTTCTTACTTTGGGAATTTGATTAAATTTACATTACTGACATTTCTGTAATACTCAGATTTTCTTGATATCATATTCTTTCTGATACCACATTTTCTCTCATACTATAACTCCTCTGAGTCTTCATGATTCCTATGATTTCCTTTAATTTTATTGACCCTTCTATGCATAGGTCCTGCCTCTCTATCTAGATGCTTGCTGATACAACAACAATCCATGAGCTTCTCTGATGAAATCCTCTTCTGATTTGCAGACAGTAAGAAAAGCAAGAAAAGAAACCCAAGTATCAGGCTGGTGTCTCTCGTAATGCAGTCTGGGGACCTCACCCTGAGAACTGTGTTGCAGTATTTTTCCATAGTCTCAGACACATACGTGTGACATCCTCTCCATCGATTATTCCCTTATTTATAGAAAAGGTCTGCCCATCGCTGCTCTAGGTTAATGATTCACAATGTGGACACATCCAAGTGGTTACACACGATCTCTTGGGCACAGAAACAAAATATTAGAACATTTACTTCTGTTTGTCATACTTTAAAAAATCAAGCTCTACTCATATTAATTCTATGGATTGAGCACACATGTCAGAAAAGGTCACATGTCACACGTGTGCAGTCCCCAGAGAAGATCAGAGTCCCACGGCGGAGCACTAATTACTGTTTAATGAGTAGGATCATTATTATGCTTCGTAATAACCAGAGAATGATTAAATCTTTGGGGCCAGAAAAGGATTCTACTTATTTTGTGAAAATAAAAGTAAAGGTCTTAGAAAGGGCCAAATTATCCTTTTTCTTTCACAAAAAGTCAAGTGTCCCAAACCCACTTATTTGATGACAATGACATTCCTGTAACACCAATGCCAATTAGAGTCATCCTAACAGATACTTTTATTTTAACATTTATTTTTTGGGGCACCTTGGGTGGCTCAGTTGGTTAAGCATCCAACTCTTGATTTGGATCACCAGGGTTACCAAAGGTGCTCCTTACTTGTCCATGCTGATTTAAAAAATAAAAAATAAATAAAAATTAAAATTAAAAAAAAACAACCACCAAAGACCTTAAAACCTCAAAATTGTATAAAACATTCAATATTAAGGCAGGAATAATTAATATACTAAATGAAAGTCAAGTCAGGGGCACCTGGGTGGCTCGGTCACTTAAGCGCCTGGCTTTGGCTCAGGTCTTGATCTCACAGTTCGTGAGCTCGAGCCTCGCATCGGGCTCTCTGCTATCAGGACAGAGCCTGCCTTGGATCCTCTGTCTCCTTCTCGCTCCGTGCCCCTCTCCCATTCGTGCTCTCTCTTTCTGTCTCTCAAAAATAATTTTTTTCAAGTTGAAGGTCAAGCCAATAATCTGAATAATAGTTTATGGAAAACTAAATATCCATAACCAGTACTACTGCTAGTAAAACAGTGCTTGGTGTAGTTACTGTATGCGTGTCTATGAATAAATCTGGGTTTAAGAAACAGATGTTGATCAGAATACATAAATTAATCACAGAAATAAGATAATATCCATGGTATATTGTTGTCCAAAGAATTCTGTGTTTGGGACTGCTTCATACAACAGAACATACATAATTGTGAAAATAAACCCAAATACGTAAAATATAAAGTTTTTAGCCGACTGAGCCACCCAGGCGCCCCCTACATAAAATATAAAGTTTTTAAACTGATACATCATTTTATCTTCCCTGGGATACGTATACCCTAAAGCACCCTGCCAATGACATAACAAAAACACTGGTTAAAACATTAAAAAGATTTGTTAAAATACATAACTGAAGAACGTCCAGAGATTAAAAAAGAGATAAAAGCAGAGATCTTAGGAAGGTTTTTGTCCTGAGGGTTTCTGCTAAGCCCCATAAAATTTAAGGTACTACTTCGATGGCTGTAGGAAGGATGCAGGAAGTAAGCCTGGGGTTGCCCAGGATGGAGAGGGAAGGAAACCAGAATATGTCGCCCAAAATATGCCTCTTTGACATAAAACCGGTTTTGAGCTAAAGGCAATTAAGAAGCCGCAAATGCTTAATGGAAAAGCTCTCTCTATCCTGCTCATGCCAACCTAAAGGCAGGGTGTACATTCTTCTTTTACTGGAGACAGACTCCTAGCCCAGAGATGGCTCCAGAGGGATCTATCTGCAAACAAACCTGACTCCATCAGTTCCTTCCCATGTAGGCAGCCTTCGGTCTGCCGCCCTGGGCACCGAAATGCCTTTCCCTTGTCTAAGTCACTTCTCTCCAAATGTATTCTTTGTGGCAGAGGGTAAGCGAGCTGTCCTAGGCCACCACGCTGCGTTACTTTTCAGTGAGGTTTCTCCCACCTCAAGTTGTGCTGCACACGTTAATAAACTGGCTTTCTCTTGCTAATCTGTCAAATGTAACTAGCATAAAACTGAAACAATCCTTAAAATCAATTACTCTCTGTGATAGCCAAGACCATTCTAAATGGAACTTTGTCCCTTTCAAAGTCCGTTGTCCTGTTATTAGCTGGTATTATGTAGGCCTAACATCAAATAGTCTACGATCCTGGCATTCCTTTTTAGGAAGAGGAGCTACAAATTCCATGTTTCTTCCTGAGAGGGTTTTACCAGCATGCACGCGCACGCGAGCTCACACACACGCACATGTGTGCACGCGCACACACACACAGACATACACACACACACACACACACACACACTCCCCACAGGCCCAAACAGTACAAATAATGTGTTGAAGTAGTGTTTAGGACATATTTTAAAATTCTAAAAGTTCCACATGCAAAGATGAGGAGAACTAAAAATATTCACCGGAAAATGGAAAAACACCCTACAGAAATCTATTATAGTTTCCCCCTTGGATAAAGACATAAAAGTAAAGACTGTGTTTGGGTTTACATAATGCCCCATTAATCAAATCAGCCAATTTTTGTGATGGATCTTATAGTATTTGTGCGTGTGCGCATGTGTATTTGTAAAAATCTTTCATTTTTAACCTACTGTTTACCTACCAGTTTCTCCAGCTGTTTTATTCTTCCCATGAGGCTTATATAGCACATACGAGCATCCTTTTACATGAAAGTGGTCATTAATTTGTCTAAACCACCTGCAAACGAGAAGAAAATGTGCTCATAGCAATATTTCCACAGCACAGATAACATCAGTGAGGTTCCAGAGAAATTCAGGCAGCACCCAAGTTTAGCGTATCTACTAGAAGCTGGGGACCCAGCAGCTGGAAACATGGTTTACAACCCACATCTACAGCACTGTTATTTTACAGAACTAGAAAGATGGTACTGTCCGTAAGTGAGGACTTCGTACCTCATAAGTGTCGTATTCCCAGTGAAAGGGCCGAACCTAATATCTTCAAATGGAGGTTGAAAGCCCAAAATATGTAAAGCCTCTTCTTGGGTAATAGGTGGAAGTCTGCAAAAGAAACAGTGCCTTTCACTTTACAGTTCCAATCACATGCAAATAATAATCTACCTCAATGTTCAGATGTCCATCTGATTTGTTTTCTGTTTTGTTGTTGTTGTTTTTTTCTTCTCTTTTCTTTTTAATTTACATCCTAGTTAGCATATAGTGTGACTATAATTTTTTTTATTTTTTTAACATTTATTTATTTTTGAGAGACAGAGTGTGAGCAGGGGAGGAACAGAGAGAGAGGGAGTCACAGAATCAGAAGCAGACTCCAGGCTCTGAGCTGTCAGCACAGAGCCCAACGCGGGGCTCGAACTCACGAACCATGAGATCATGACCTAAGCTGAAGTTGGCTGCTTAACTGACTGAGCCACCCAGGCGCCCCTAGTGTGACTATAATTTATAATTTAATGATTTCAGGAGTAGATTACAGTGACTCATCCCCTATGTATAACACCTAGTGCTCATCCCAACAAGTGTCTTGCATCTCATTTATAAACAATTTTAGTAATGTAGTTGACATTTGAACAACATGGATCTGAACTGTGCAAGTCCACTTTCACGTAGATTTTTTTATAAATATAGTGCAGTACTATAAATGTATTTTCTCCTTCTTAATGAATTTCTTGGTGACATTTTTATTCTCTAGCTTGCTTTATTGTAAGAATATAGTATATAATACATACTGCATGTGTTCATCTACTGTTTACTTTATTGGTAAGGTCTCTGGTCAACAGTAGGCTATTGGTAGTTAAGTTTTGGGGGAATCAAAAGGAATATGTGGATTTTAGACTGCCCTAACCCCTGCATTGTTTAAGCATCAACTGTACATTTAAATTTTATTTTGTCACAATAAGGCATACTTATTATTTTCAGCTAAAGGCTTATAAAAACTATAGCAATTTTTTTCTAGATTTTTGAAAAATCTATTTTTAAAAATGTTCAATTACAGGGGTGCCTGGGTAGCTCAGTTGGTTGAGCGTCCCGACTCTTGATTTTGGCTCAGGTCATGATCTCAGGGTCGTCGGATTGAGCCCTGCGTGGTACTTGCTTAAGATTCTCTCTCTCTCAATCTCTCTCTCTCTCTCCTCTAAAAATAATAAAAATAAAAGAAATAAAAATTAAAGAGAAATCTTCAGTTACAGAAAAAGCAATACCAAATAACTTGTGAATTTGGGGTTTCGGGATACCAATAAATTAACACACTTACGTTCCAGCTCCCATTGTGCTATATAAGAAATTCCAACAAGAAATTAATGAGGAGATGCCACAAGAAGTCTTATATTGTGGTCGGCTTATGCAATACCTGAGAAAACAAAAGATTGTCTTCCTCACTTGAATGAATACAAAATATGCATATAGAAAGATAACACTCATGGCAACTAAATGTGTTAATGTAACGAACACTTCTCTCATTAAAGCCAAAGTAAAATCTTTATTCACTTAAAACATTTTCATATTTATTAAATATATCATAAAATACATAGCAACAATAAATCATATAGTTTAATAAAACTAGCTAAGCTCAACTAACCACAAGTTAAAGCAGATGTTATCCAAACCAACAGAAAAAAATAATGATATATAAATGCAGACACCAACTAATAAATTTCAGGGTAAGCTCATAGCTGAGCTGCAAAAATAATTATTTGCAACTTCAAAAATACTGGGGAAACAAAACAAAACATTGTCCCCGTGTATCAACTTTCCAGAGATTCTTCAACTCAGACCAAAAAACATCCATTTATCACCCACTGTATCCAACTAAAACCCTTGGGTTTTACCAGAGGTTTATTTTTATTTTTATTTATTTATTTATTTTTATTCTTGAGAGAGAAAAAGAGCATGAGCTGGGGAGAGGCACAGAGAGACGAAGACACAGGATCAGAAGCAGGCTCCACATTTACAGCATAGAGCAGATGCGGGGCTCGAATACGCGAACTATGAAATCATGACCTGAGCCAAAGTCCAATGCTTAACTGACTAAGCTACCCAGGTGCCCCGTATCAGAGAATTTTAAAGTGTAGCACAAAATCCCTCCACGGCACAATTTAACTGCAGACAATTTTCCAGTCATGTGTCAAGAGAAATGACTACAGCTAACATGAACAGAGGAGAAAAAAGCAGACTATTCAATTTTTTAAAATGTTTATTTTACTTTTGTGAGAGACAGAGATAGAGCATGAGCAGGAGGGGGGCAGAGAGAGAGGGACACACAGAATCAGAAGCAGGCTCCAGGCTCTGAGCGGTCAGCACAGAGCCCGACGCGGGGCTCGAACTCACAAACTGTGAGATCATGACCTGAGCCGAAGTTGGAAGCTCAACCGACTGAGCCATCCAAGTGCCCCCAGACTATTCAATTAAAAAAAAAGAAATAGTGGGGTGCCTGGGTGACTCAGTCAATTAAGTGTCTGACTTTTGCTCAGGTCGTGATCTCAGAGCTTGTGGGTTTGAGCCCCACATCGGGCTCTGGGCTGACAGCTCAGAGCCTGGAGCCTGCTTCAGATTCTGTGTCTCCCTCGCTCTCTGCCCCTCCCCTGCTCATGCTGTGTCTCTGTCTCTCAGAAATAAATAAACATTTAAAAAATTTTTAAAAAGGAAATAATATTAGCTTTCAAATTACCTTTTCCCACCCTTCCTTCCTCCCTTCCCTCCTTCCTTCCTTTCTTTCTTTTTTTTTTAATGTTTTTTTTTTAAATTTATTTCTAGGAGAGAGAGAGAGAGAGAGACAGTGTGAGCAGGGGAGGGTCAGAGAGAGAGGGAGTCACAGACTGAAACAGGCTCCAGGCTCTGAGCTGGCAGTCAGCACAGAGCCCGACACGGGGCTCGAACCCACGAACCGCGAGATCATGACCTAAGCGAAAGTCGGACGCTTAACCAACTTTAAGCCACCCAGGCGCCCCTCTTTCTTCCTTTCTTCCTTTCTTCCTTCCTTTCTTTCTTTCTTTCTTTTTCTTCCTTCCTTCCTTCCTTCCTTCCTTCCTTCCTTCCTTCCTTTCTTCCTTTCCTTTCTTTCCTTTCTTTCCTTCTCTTTCTTTCTTTCTTTATCCCTACACCCATGAAGCTCAAACCCACAGCCCTGAGATCAAGAGTCACAGGCTCTACTAACTGAGCCAACCAGGCACACCTCCCAACTGTTGTCTTTCTTTCTTTCTTTCTTTCTTTCTTTCTTTCTTTCTTTCTTTCTTTCTTTCTTTCTTTCTTTCTTTAACGTTTACTTATTTTTGAGAGAGAGAGACAGAGACAGAGAGACAGAGAGTGAGCAGAGGAGGGCCAGAGAGAGAAGGAGACACAGAATCCAAAGCAGGCTCCAGGCTCTGAGCTGTCAGCAAAGAGCCCAGCACGGTGCTCAGTCTTACCAGCCATGAGATCATGAACTGAGCCAAAGTCAGATGCTTAACCAACTGAGCAAACCAGGTGCCCTCCCAACTGCTTTCTAATGAAGGTGCTAATAGCGGCCAAAACAAAAAGGAGAAACACAGTTTATCATCACTAAACACAGTTTTAGTGTTACCTTAAAATTAATTACAAAAAGAGGGGTGCCTGAGGGGCTCAGTTTTTTAAGCATCTGACTCTGGATTTAGGCTCAGGTCATGATCTCACGAATATGAGACTGAGCCGCTCCTTGGGCTCTGGGCTGAGCACAGAGCCTGCTTGGGACTCTCTCCCTCTCTCTCTGCCCCTCACCCTGCTTGCGCATATCCTCAAGCATTCTGTCTCTCTCTCTCTCGAAATAAATAAATAAACAAAAAATTACTTACAAAAAGAAAAATTACAGATACATACATACAGATGTATGTATATTTGTATATGTGTATATAATATGCACAATGCACATACATAACGCAACCATGACTCTTGTATCTACAACCTAAACTGAGTTGGACCTTTAAGACTAAGATACAAAAGATGATTATGGTTACTTAACTATATGGTTATCATGTAGCCACATAATACAGGAATTGTTATGGATTGAACTGCACCCACCTAAAAAGATACTTCGAAGTCCATGGGGTGCTTAGGTGGCTTAGTCAGTTAAGCATCTGACTCTTGATTTCGGCTCAGGTCATGATCTCACAGTTTGTGAAACTGAGCCCCGCATTGGGCTTTGTGCTGACAGCATGGAGCCTGCTTGGGATTCTCTCTCCCTTTCTCTCTGCCCCTCCCTCACTTGTAAGCACACGCTCTCAAAAGAAATGAATTTTTTTAATCAAAAAAAGATATGTTGAAGTCCTAACCTATGAATACAATCTAATTTGGAAATAGAGTCTTCGCAGATAGAATTAAGCTAAGATGAGGTCATACTGGAGGAAGTGTGGGCCCTTAATCCAAGATGACCAGTGTCCCTATAAAAAAGGAAAAAGGGACACACAGAGAGGAGAGCACTGTGTGAAGACCCAGACACATGAATGGAAAACTCAGAGACAGAAGTGTCGCAGCAGCGAGCCTAGGAGGGCCAGGGACCAGAAGCTAGGATGAAGCAGAAGAGTCTAGCCCACGGATTTCAGAGGGGACGTGGCCCTGCCAACAGCTTGGATTCTGACTGCCAACCTCCAGAAGTAAGAGATAGTTTCTGTTGTTTTAATGCAGCCAGTTGATGGTAGCTCTAGGAAACTCACTCACGAATCATCATCCAGGAAAGAAACACTACAAACTGGTTTGCATCCACAAAAGCAAAAAACCATGAGCACATTGTGAATGGTTTCGTTTATAGCTATTTGTGAGGCTGTTTAAAGAAGAGCTCCCACCCGCAGAAATGACCCTGACTTGAGAAAGTGTTGGCGTTACAGAGCTCTCATATTTCAAACTCAGAAGCTAACTTCCAGAAGGGCTCGTGTATTCATAGCCACCACCAACATTCTTTCTGCAACTACATTTTCCACAAATGGACGTAGCAGTCACCATGACTTGTTTCCAGATGCTTTTCCATTCCTTTTTTTTTTTTTTCTCCCTATCTTGGGTGGTTGACATTGCTTGTTGAGTGGCTAAGAGCTCGTGGCTGTTGCAGTCACTCAGTTCTCGCATGACTGGGACTCCACTGCTTCCACACTTGAGTAACAGCGTGAATATGACACTTGGGTGACATTTTCCCTCCCAAGAAACAAGACTCCATTGTAGCCTGACAGCAAGTACTGCCATTTTGTGAAGACTGAGACCAAAGGGATAATTTCCCTTTGTACTGGTTTTGCACTGAATGCCCATGACTCCTTATGCCTGAACTTTAGTAACGCCACCAAAACATGCCTTGGTGCTGATCAGTCTGTATCAGTTTTCCTTTCCTGGGACACAATTTACCCTTTCAAATCTGCACACTTTAGCCTTTCCTTCCATTTGTGTCTTTCCATATGTTTTTTTTTTTTTTCAATTTGTTCTGATCTCTTTCTCAGGAATACCAGTTAGTGATATCGGGAGCTTCTGTCTGATACCCATATTTATCTTTTCTTTTAAATAAAGATTTTATTTTTAAGTAATCTCAACAGCCAATGTGGGGCTCAAACGCACAACCCTGAGATCAAGATTCACATGCTCTACCTACTGAGCCAATCAGGCATCCCAATAACATTTTTATATTTTTGTTCTTTTCCATTTGGGTTTTGTGCGATTTCCTCACACTGACTCACCATTGACTTCATTATGTCTTCACTGGGTTGGGGTTTTTTTTGCTCGCTTCTAAAGTGCAATGACTTTGTTCATCCTCCACTTCTTTCCCTGGGCTGTCAATCATCTCCCCTTCTGTGGTCATATGACCTCTTCTTTGACTTCATTTTTAAAAAAATATTTATTCATTTTTGAGAGAGAGAGAGTGCAAGGGGGGGAGGGGCAGAGAGAGAGAGGGAGACACAGAATCCGAAGCAGGCTCCAGGCTCTGAGCTGTCAGCACAGAGCCCGAAGTGGGGCTCGAACCCAGCAGTGGTGAGATCATGACCTGAGCTGAAGTCGGATGCTCAACCGACTGAGCCACCCAGGCGCCCCTCTTTGACTTCATTTTGAAAAATAGTATGAATCGTAACTTTCTTGATATAAAGGGCTTATTCTGAATTTTAACTTTATTTCCTTGAATAACACTTCCAAAGATGCATATGCCTTCCACTGTTGCCTATTTTAACTTACAACTTTTATACACATATATCAAGTTGCTTCCTCTGTCTTTACTCATCCTTGAATAGAGCCGATTATCACTGAAGAGTCGTTTGCTCTCTTCAGCAGCCCATCGTCAAATTTGCCAAGTCTGCCCCTCCATTTTTTTTCTTTTTATAATTTTGGTAAAAACACATAACATAAAATTTTCCATCTTAACCAGGTTTT